CTTTTCTGTTAACACAAGCTCAATTGATGGTATTTGCTGGTGTACAGTCCAAGTGTTTTCTCTTTGAACACCTAAATTCTTTGAAGTATCCTGAAAGTATATTCAAAAGCGTCCAACTTTTTGAAACATCTTGGTATGTCTGACAGCCAAATTTCCGTGCAAAATTTTGCTTACTTTTCTCCCTAATTTTCTTCTTTCCTTTTACAGTTATTTTTAGTGTTCACACAAGAAAATTAAGATTTTTCGATTGATAGACTAAATTTTGACATAAATTTTGCATTCTTGTCAATTTTTTTAAAACATTAATTACATTAACTGCGTTTTAGCTGAAAACAGCTTTTCATTTTCTAGTCATTTTAACTATAAATAAAGTTTAACGCGAAGCCCAAAGGATAAATATTTTAATTAAAACAATTTTTTCTAAATGACAGAGGAATAAAACAGTCCAGCAGTGTTTATTCTGTACCACCGAGTAACCCGATTCTTATATCGGCTGAAACAATCTAAATCATATTAAAGATCCTGTTTTTTAAAATAATCTATAACGCGAGAGAAAAATTAGCTTCTTTAAACATTCTTCTAAGAGGTTAATATAAAAATTTATATTTTTATATATATTTTTAAAGCTTGGACCTGAACCAAACTGTCAAACTTTTAAAGTTTAAATTTACATGGTGGTTATAATTAAAGTTCCACTTTGAAATGGTCATAAAGGAATACTACCGGACCAAATGTTATCAAACTTGGGAATCGTGTAAAGGAGGTTATGGGAATTTATTTTTCGCGGGGAAAAAAAAAAAAAAAAAAAAAAGAGTTCAAAAACTCACCACCAGGGGAAAAATGGTGCTGTATGCAATATGTTAATGAATAAGACATGAAAACATCGGTTTAAATGTTGTTTAATCGTTCCGAAACGTGTTACAAGGGGATTGTTTAATGTAGCGTCCAACATTTTCCGAAAGCAAGTTAAATCCTGTTACTGCATTCTGAACAGCAGCTCTTAGCATATCAGGAGGAATGTTACGGACATGTTGGTGTATCACATTTTTCACTTCTGCTAAATTGTTTAGATTATCACCATAAACAGTGCTTTTGAGATAATCCCATAGCCAAAAGTCAGAGAGGTTGAGGTCTGGAGGGAAGAGGTGTTAATAAAGTAATCAGAGTGTAATAAAAATAGATTATAGATTTTACGCTGATGCAACTTTTTGTATGAATGCACAACATGTAATGGAAGAGAAGGCTTGTAGAGATCTGTTTTTGACATGCCTCTAAAAGTAGATGTTATACTCCTTTTGTCTCTTCAATGTGAAAACACGTTCCTTTGAGAGGCAACTTTAGTTTTCGGGAAAGAAAAAAAATCACAAGAAGAAAAATTTGAAGAACATGCAGGACGATTGAGTACACATACTTATTTTCGGAACACAAGCGGTTCTCCGACTGGTTATTGAATAATGAAAAGATGCATTGTCATGCATTACAAAATATTTGGAATACGTTTTCTGACTGAATAACGTAATTTTAAAAGTCATCTGCTTAATTCACAGCCATTTACAAGTCAACTACTCGGGCAATTGCAGAATCGTTTTGATCCTGAGCTTGTAAGACAAACCTAATATCACTGGATTTAAACACTTCTTTAATCTTCCGAGAACATTCCTTCTTTAGGACATATTCCAAGAATATTAAGTGAATACAATTATTGCAAAAGAAATTGAATATTCATTTGCACTTCGGCTTGGTAGTTTACTAATGAGTTAACAAACTTAAATTCTGCTTTTTGTGTCGAAGAATACAACAATAATTTAAGTATTTACAAATAAAATATTAAATTGGAGATTTAATTGGAGCCTCACCAGTTGCCTAGCATTTTAAGATTGTTAAATACTAATTTGTTTGTTGTGAAGTCTAATCCAGGCTGCATGTGTTGGTTTTCGTAGTTTTCTAGGTTCTCTGTGAAAGCATCTTAACCAAAAAGCTCCCATATTCTTTCTATGTTCAAATAACCAACTCACCTAGTTTAAGCTCGATTTCCAACTGAAGTTACTAGCAAAACCCGAATACTCATTCAACATCATGTAGCTTGTCAATCGGGAGTAACATGAAAGATACGGCGCCAATAATTGAATTGCTGTTACGGTACGCTGTTTCTAAACTTAGATGGTCAGTCCTTAGTTAAATGTAATTGATTTGTAACTTCTACTAGAGCTGACGGTAAGAATTGAAGTGCAAATAAATAATATCGTGTGCAATCTTGATTAATATAAAATTAGAAATATTTGCATAGAAAAATATTATTAGCATTCAGACAGAAAGTTTTTGAAATATTTGCAATTTCTTTATAAGAAAGATTTATTAATAACCGTAATAATTACTTATTATATTACTGATGATTAGAATTCAGTTCTGGACAATTACATTCTAAATTAGAATTTTAAGGATATAATGAAAATACACTACGCATAAAAATACATTTTAGAATAAAAAAATGAGTTGATTTTTTTTATTTTTGAAAACTTCTTAAATTCATTTAATAAACGTCGTACCCTGGTTGTTAATTGAATCCAGAACGTTGAGTGTCGTTTATATAATTATTCTTACTTGTCCACAGAACCTGCTGACTTATCCAGCCAGTAAGTAGCTGCAGATCATTTCTACATAACCATTGAACTTCCATTAATTCGGCCTCTAGGGGGTTGTATGTTTATATCATAATTTGACTTTTATAAAAATGATGATTCTAAATCTTATGTTTCTATAAAAATATGCTGTGCTTTAAAAATATGGATGGTAGTATCAGCCGTTCTTTCAGCCACTTCATCAGCAACAGCTTGTTTAGAAATAAATTATGCAGGTAATGTCCTAAAATATTTTCATAAAATTCAAATAAACATCAAATGAAAGTTGTCAGTTTCAGACAATTCGATTTAAACGAAGTTAAAGTAAAGTAGCAGACGATAAAACGCCGAAGATAAAAATTTACTCTTACAAATATTAAAAAAAAAAAGGAAGAAAAAGAGAAATTAAAAAAAATAGTTAAATATTTGTGTAATATCATCTATAATTAAAAAAATAGGGTACTTTTCCGTTTAGCCGGCGCAAGCGATGAAGTCGCCAGTAATGGTACAACCGATGCCAAACGGAATATTCTCGCTGGTAATCTTTTACGCCTCATTTTCAAAACAAGTCGCCGCTTTGTCTTATCAGATTGATTGTTTATTTTTATCAGATAATTCAGTTTTATGTCTAAGGCCATTTTCGGTACTTAAGTCAATCAGGATGCAATCACAGCGCTTACCCGAAACCGAAAATATAGAAAAGGTAAAAATCAAGGGTTAAATTCATCAATTCTAATGAGAATGCATTAACGAAGTAAAGCACTGCAGTTTTACATAATTTCTGTGTAAGCTATTCGTACGAATTGAAATATTTCTTGCATTTAAACTTGTGTTCCAAATTAAGATTTAACTTGAAATTAATGTAGATAATTACTGAGAGCATTAGATTTTTGTAGAGTAGTTTACGTGAGATGAGATCGCTTGGGTTCACGTGATATGAAACGGCGAATCGGGATGTTGAACCATGAAAGCATAGTAAATTCTTAAATTAATGTCTTTTTACAAATTTATTGTCTTCATTTATTGGCTTTTTATAAAATTTTAAGCGATATTAAAATGTTTATGCCTTCAAAAAAAGAATTCTTAGAACTAACATTTTTTAGATATTTTTTATGTGTATACCGTATGTTGTCGCCAATAAAGTCTGCTTGGCGAGATTTGCGCCGGCGAAACGGAAAAGTACCAAAAATAGCTTTTCATATAGTATTAATAAATATTTATTACGCATCATTGAGGGAAAAAATTTCATATAATTAATTCTCCGTAAAATTTTATTTGAAATTTAAGGTTAAAAATAGCTGTGGCAATTCACTGTAACAAAAATCCATAAACCACATTTGGCGTTATTATCGCTCACAAAAAAAAAAAAAAAAAAAAAAAAAAAAAAAAAAAGATGCCAAATTTCAAAACGCGAAAATATATAAATTCGTGTATATATCAGAAAATTTTGAATAAAAAAGTCTAATTTTTTGCAGGTATGCTTAGAAATACACCTACTTTAAGATGGTAAAAATTTTATAGGTTATAATTCAATAATGTTTACGAAAAATTTATAAAAAATATTTAAAAATAGAAATCTAAAAAATAAAACACAAAGAATGGGTAAATTGTTTTGGAATGAAAAAAATTTCGAAATGTGAAAGGAAAAATAAAAAAGTTCAATAAAAAAATGATATATTAATAAATGTTTGCCAAATTCAATTAACACTGAGGAGCTAAAATTTTGAGAGCTAATATTTTAAAAACTACTCGTACGATTTTTACCAAACTTGGCATCTGGCATAATTTGAGTAGTAGAATCGAAATATGGAAAACAACTGGTATGTTACTTCAGAAAAAGCCCGATTTTGTGTCAAAATACCTATGTTAGAACAGTGCTAATATATATCCTAAGTCGCGCTTTCGAGACATGAAAAACGTAGTTTGAATTTTGTCAATCGGCTCAGTAGAACGGGATATATAGCACTGTCCCATTTTTTTTTGAGCAGTGTACCTATTAACAGTTATTTAATAACAATCATAAATCAAAATAGGCCGAAAATGCTTTTTTATCACTTCCATTTATCACTGAAGAAACAACTGCCAAAATAAAAGTGCACTCTAAATAATTTGCTCTTTGTACACAAGTATGATATTTAAGCAGAAATCTGAAATGAATTACAGTGGTAATATTTTAAAAGCTTAACTAATACTTGGAATTCTGAATCTATATCTTTATTTTAGGTGATATACAAATATTGGTGAATAGTCTAGTAGATTATAAATACAAGGTAGAGACTAACTTAGAGATCACTTGGCCATCTCACATGAAAAAGTTTCATTTCAGTCTTTCCTCAAAACCATACTCATACACTATTTAAAAACAATTCAGAGTGTTCTTACTTGAACTGGAAAAGGTAAAAGAACAGCATATGTCTTTGGCTTTTCCTCTGGAGTCTTGCTGATGATTACACTTTTTTGTATGTCAAAAGGGTAAGAGAAACCACAAGCTCCAAATCTTTGTGAAGTTACGGACACACAACCTGATGCCATGTCAGCTTCCTTCATAAGAGAAATGACATATTTATTTATGAAAAAAATGGTTCTCTTGGTGCATTATATAAATATCAGAATAAGATTTCAGTAAAGATACAAAACATTTTGAATTACGTTCCTGCTATTTAAAATAAAACTATTAGTTTCGTCAAAGTGATTTACTTCATAATGATGCAAAGATAATAATTATGAAATAGCTGGATGAAGTTGTGACAACAGAGAACAAAATTTTCTTCTCATATTTTTTCTGTCCCTTACAAACTCTCATATTGTTTCTATCCTATGTGCTGCCTTTAATGTCGATGAGTGGTAGCTAGTCTTGAGTACCCGTTATTTTGAAACCAGAGGATTGTCGTGTCCAGATGGGGAACGGCATGTTCAGCGATGTAGTAGTTCCGGCCTCTTAATTCAAGTAATATCTTCCTCCCACTGCAGGCTTTATAATCTAGAGAGCCATAGACAAGGATAGCCGATCCGCCGTAGAAATGATATGTGGAATATTGAGGGCCTAGCAGTACGTGGATTAGATCCTACTGTCCCGTATGTCGCCATTCTTGTGTGGGATTTTCGGTGTGATAATCTAGCAGGACGTTAACCATCAACACTTGGATCAGGCTGTCCAAGACTACTCACGTCATGCCGAGATATTTCCTCGCTCTGAAGATATATCCGCAGTAAATCATACATGAGACGAGTCGAAATACCTTTATGTTAGCATAAATTTAAGTATTTTGCATAATGAAACTCGAAAGGCATACGAAACGAACGTGCGCAAAGGTATATATTGGCGAGAGAAAGTAAAGCTCGTGTGCAATGCAGTATATTTGATTTTTCACCCTAGCTACTTGTACCTGGCCAAAGGTCTAATCCAGTAGTACTTTCTTCTCTTTCAGGTACGATGGCAAAGTATGTTCCTGTTTATTCTCCTTTTTATTGCCTAATATAGGTAAGCCTGATGATATTTAGTACTGATGAGGATTCTATGTAAGTTATTCTTTTGAATACTTCAATTTTAATGTCTGTGAAGATTATTACTTTTTGTTATGCTTAAGTTAAGCAAAATTATCCTATTAAATAAAGATTTCGTAGTTAATCTTTTTGACTTATGATTCTTTAATTCTGTGCTTGAGGAAACGTACTCATTATGCCTTCAGTGCTAATGCACAACCAACAAAAAGATTACGAGACTGAGAAATTGAAATTTTGTAATGTTGTAAGATTCCAGGGGCATAAAGTATTTAACTCTTTGTTTGAAAAAAAAAAAAAAAAAAAAAAAAAAAAACTAGTTACAAAGTTTATAAGAATAATTGTAACAGTAATAATGTCTATTCTAAAAGAATCAGTTTGTATAGAAAAATTAACAGATGAAAATTATTCAGTGTGGAAATTTAAAATAAAACAACTTCTAATAAAAGAAGGTTTAGACGATGTTGTATTCGAAGAAAAACCGGAAGCTGATACTGATATTTGGTTAAAGAATGATCGTAAAGCTAAAGCTTTAATATGTCTAAACATTTCGGATTCGCAAATTATCCATGTATTGCATAGTAAATCTGCAAAAGAAGTTTGGCAGAAGTTAAAATGTGTCCATGAACGTGTAAATTTAACAAATAAGTTATTTCTTCTTAGAAAACTATATTCCATTAGATATAATGAAAATTCTAAAATGCAGGAACATATCAAAGGAGTACTAGAGTTGGCTGAAAAGCTGCATAGGTGAAGAAATTAAAGAAAGTAACTTAATAGCAATACTACTATGTTCTTTACCAAATTCATACAACTCCTTAATAACTGCAATAGAAAGTAAATCGGAAGCTGAATTGTCGCTAGAATATGTTAAAAACAAACTAATAGATGAGTATTGTAGACGTGTGGAAACTAAGAAAGTTCAAAAGTACGATTCAGTTGCTTTAAAACGTAAAAGCGAAAATAAACCAAAGTATGTTACACAATTTTGTACTTAATGTAAGAGAAATAACCATACGATAAATGACTGTTTTCATTTAAAACGCAACGCTAGAACTTCCCCGAAAACAAATGTAAATAATAGTAAAGGAATAAATTATTCTCAAAATTATAAAAGTAATGCATGCCAAATAGCAAATACGCAAAGTGTAGAAAACATAACAAAACTTAAAGAAAATAAGTATCTTAAAAGTATTGAAACTGAAAATTCGCAAATTCAGTTTAATCAAGTTCTAAAAGTGGAAAATAAACATGAAAACACGCAAACGCAAGAATGGGTTATCGACTCGGGAGCTTCAACTCATATGACGAGTAATAAGAATTTTTTCTCTCAGTTAAATGACTCTAATAAACAAATAGTAACTGTAGCCAATGGTGCTAAATTAAATTCTTATGGTATTGGTGAAGGTTATTTTAAAGTTCGAAACTTAAAGGGTCAGGTTACACAAATAAAGTTAGAAAATGTATTGTATGTACCAGGTTTAGATAGTAATTTACTTTCTGTTCAATCTGTTACCAATAAAGGTTGCATTGTTACATTTGATAGTAATAAGTGTTACATAAAGCGTAACAATATACTCGTAGCCGACGGCAACGCTCAGCAAGGTTTATATAAATTGATCGTAAACCCAATTGATGAGAAAGCATACTTAGCTAATAATGTTTCATGTTCAAATACGAACTGTATACTAAAATGGCATCAAAGATTAGGCCACAGAAATATAGATGCCATAAAAACACTTGAGAAAAATGATTTGGCAGACGGCTTTAAATTTGGCAAATGCACTTATAGTGTGGAATGTTCTACTTGTGTAAAAGCGAAACTAACTGAAACACCTTATCCCAAAACTAGTTTTAGATCTAAAAATCCACTGGATTTAGTGCACACAGATGTGTGTGGGCCAATTGAAGTCAACAGCTTAGGAGGGAAAAGATATTTCGTAACTTTCATTGATGACTATTCGCGTTATACTCAAATTTATTTTATTACTTCAAAAGATGAAGTATTCGACAAACTTAAACAGTATGTTGCATCGACAACAAATAAATTTAAAAAGAAAATAAAGGTTCTCAGACCCGACAACGGTACAGAATACTGTAACGAAACTACTGAAAATTATTTAAAGAAACTCGGCATTTTTCACCAAACTTCGGTTCCTTATTGTCCGGCACAGAACGGCGTCGCAGAAAGGAAAAATCGCTCTTTAATAGAAATGACAAAAGCTATGCTAATAAACTCTAAATTACCGAAAGGATTCTGGGCTGAAGCAGCAGCTACTGCTGCATATCTTCAAAATAGGTTACCAACTAAAGCCACAGATAGAACACCATATGAATTGTGGAATGGTAGAAAACCAAACTTAAGTCACTTACGAGTATTTGGCTGTAAAGCATTTTATTATGTGAACAAACAAAAACGGCGTAAATTCGACAACAGAGCTGAAGAAGGAATATTCGTAGGATACGATTTACGAAGTAAGGGATACAGGATTTATGTAGGTGGAAGGAAAATAATAGTAAGTAGAACTGTTAAATTTTCAGAAAATGCATTTTTATCTGACAAACATGCAGAAAATAATGCTGAAGATTTAGAATTAATTCACTTCAATAACTCGCAAGAAGATGAAGAAAATAATGAAGAAACATTTCTTGGCGATGATTTTACAGAAGATTCAAAAAGTTCCGAAGAGTTAATTAAATGTGAAGAAAATGTAGAAAGAAGGGTTTCTAGCAGATCAACCAAAGGGGTCCCACCGGAAAGATTCTCTTATAAAGCAGAAGACGAAGAATCAATCTTACTTAAAATTAAAGATCCAGAAAGCTTTGAAGAAATTCTAAACTTACCAAACGTGAACAAGAAGCTTGGATCAAGGCTATGCAAGAAGAAATACATTCTCTAAAAGAAAATGAAACCTATAAACTTACAGAATTACCACCAGGAAGACATGCAGTAGGCAGCAAATGGGTGTTTAAGACAAAATATGATGAAACTGGTAAAAATATAAAATACAAAGCACGCTTAGTAGCCAAAGGATTTACTCAAAAATACGGCAGTGATTATGATGAAACTTTTTCACCAGTAGTGAAACACACTACGATAAGAGTTTTCTTAGCATGGGCAGCGTATAATAATGCCAAGGTACATCAACTAGATGTTAAAACAGCTTTTTTATACGGCAACTTAAATGAAGAAATATATATGGAACAACCAGAAGGATTCGTGGTTCCGGAAGAAACATAAAGTTTGTAAATTACAGAAGTCGATTTATGGTCTCAAACAAGCAGCTAGGTTGCTGGAATGCAGAAATTGAAAATACACTGAAGAATCTGGGGTTCAGTCAAAGCAAAGCAGATCCGTGTCTTTTCACAAAAGTGGTTCGTGATAAAAGAATTAATTTAATAGTGTATGTTGATGACATCCTAATAAGTTCTACAGAAGAAGGACTAATTCTTCAAACAATTAATGATTTAAAGAAACGTTACCAAATAACGCATCTTGGTGAAGCTAAATATTTCTTAGGCATGGAAATAAATCGCAAGGAAGATGGAAGTTTATCTCTTATCACAGAAAAATAAAATAAATCAACTTGTCAAGCAATTTCAACTTGAAGAAGCGAAACCCGCCAGCACACCAATGGAAACGAACTATTATAACCTAAACAAGGAAGAAAATCTCCTAACTTCAAATGATAAATTTCGCCAAGCTATTGGAAGTCTTTTTGTATATATCGTCTATCACAAGACCAGAATATCACAGCTTCAACTCACATACTCAGTAGAAGGTGTAATAATCCACGTCAAAAGGACTGGAATGCTGTTAAAAAGAATCATTAGATACTTTAAACACGACAAAAAGCATTTATCCTTAGAAATTTCGTCGAGTGAAGAACCTAATATTACAGTTTATTCAGATGCTGATTGGGGAACAAGATATTGAAGATAGAAAATCTACATCAGGAAGTGTTATTTTATTAGGAAGGAACTGTATTTCATGGTTTTCAAGAAAACAAACTTGTGTTTCTTTATCCTCAGCAGAAGCTGAATATGTTGTACTATCGCAAGTTCTACGCAAGAACTATTATGGCTATTTAAAATTAACAGAAGATTTCAATCTACCCCAAACTCTACCGATTAAGGTATTTGAAGATAATCAGTCTACTATAAGACTTGTAGAATCTGAAAAATTCAGTTCACGCACTAAACATATTGATACAAAAGTTCATTATATACGCGACTTGAATAACAAAGGAATAGTAAAACTTGCTTATCTTTCAACAGAGCAAATGATTGCTGATATTATGACTAAACCAATTCCTAAAGCTAAATTTCAGTTTTGCAGGAATGAATTACAATTGGTATGAGTTTCATTAGCAAAACAGGGGCAATGTTAGCATAAATTTAGGTATTTTGCATAATGAAACTCGAAAGGCATACGAAACGAACGTGCGCAAAGTTATATATTGGCGAGAGAAAGTAAAGCTCGTGTGCAATGCAGTATATTTGATTTTCACCCTAGCTACTTGTACCTGGCCAAAGGTCTAATCCAGTAGTACTTTCTTCTCTTTCAGGTACGATGGCAAAGTATGTTCCTGTTTATTCTCCTTTTTATTGCCTAATATAGGTAAGCCTGATGATATTTAGTACTGATGAGGATTCTATGTAAGTTATTCTTTTGAATACTTCAATTTTAATGTCTGTGAAGATTATTACTTTTTGTTATGCTTAAGTTAAGCAAAATTATCCTATTAAATAAAGATTTCGTAGTTAATCTTTTTGACTTATGATTCTTTAATTCTGTGCTTGAGGAAACGTACTCATTACGCCTTCAGTGCTAATGCACAACCAACACTTTATCAATGTGTCGTAGTATTCGGGATTCGAAACACAATGTAGAATAAATGTGGGCCCGTTTAACTGCAGATTAATTTTATTAGTGATAGTAATATCTTTGTTGAATTAATCAATGCCACATGTTGCACGTTCGTTTTTCTTGGTTCCAAGGACTGTCTAGTAGGCCATTTTATTAAAATGATTTGTCCTTGCTCAACTATCCCATTCCCCCCCCCAAAAAAAAACAGCCGAATTTCGCGTATACTTGCTGCAACCCTGTTAAAAGAGCAACTACTTTTAAATCTGCACACACTATAAGGTATTTCTCCCGCCTTTCAAGCATGCCTTCGTTGTGTAGTGGTTCTGCACGCTGGGCCGGTATTCCAGATGTTCGTGGTTCGATTCCCGGCGAAGGCGTTGCTCATCTTTCATCTTGCCTACTTTCAAATTACCTAATGTCTCTACAGTGGCGCCCGAACTAAAAGGGTGGTGGATGATGACTCTCCACACCCAGGATTTGGCGATGGGTTCCTTAAAAACCCCAATCGCCCTTTAAAAGGGGAAGTATGTAAGGTATTTCTCCCGCCTTCCTAGCGTGCCTTCGTGATGTAGTGGTTCTGTACGCTAGGCCGGTATTCCAGAGGTCCGTAGTTCAATGCCCGGCGAATGCAGTTGCTGATTTTTCACCTCTCCGGCCTCAAAAAAATATTAATAGCTCTACAGCACTTGCCATTTATAGTGTTCGTATTTGATTCACTTTAGGAGATTGTTTCATATTATCATATCATTCCTTCATAGTATAAGGTTTTTTCCCTCACTCCTTTCTGCTTGCCTTCGTGGTGTAAGGAGCATACACTCGGAGCATAATCGAGAGGTCTAGGTTCGAGTCCCGGTGAGGGTATTGTTCATTTTTTAAGTCTCCAGTATCAAAATAACCTACAATATATGCGGCGGGGGCAAGATGAATCGACGGTAAATGTTTCCAATATTTATCAGAACAGCTATAGAGTCTCTGGGTTCTCTCTGGTAGCATATACTGTAGACTCTACGTAGAGGGCGAAGTAGAGAATTCTCGCAATGTCTTGAAGATTAAATACTGCAGAAGAAGGTTTTAAATAACCTTTTACTTAAACTAAATTAAAACAGATGCACGCACTTGGTGCTCACAAATCACCTCCACTTATGGCTAACGTAAATTTAACAGAAAATAAGAATGTAACAAATCACTAACTAATTGAGATATCTAACGACTGGCTACTTAGCTTAACTAAACGCTAAATCTGCTGCACATAGCAAAGTCGAGCCTAGAAATATCAGTATAAACTGAAAGGTGTCTAACACCGATTATAGATCTAATATCACACCTGCAATATAAACTCGGAACTAGGGAAAGGAAAACTAAAAATAATTGGTTAGAACAAAATAAAGACCTTATACAGCTTTTAAGCTTAATATTGAACCATCTGTGAATAATCTCCATTCTTCCGGTTTATGATTCATATCAAAAGCTCCGAATAAACTATTTACATCCTTGAAAAAATTTAAGTTTCTGTCAGTGTCGAAGAATGGCGTCAAATCTTTCTGACTAGTATGAAAATGAGTTATCATCCTACCGTTTCCCTAAAAGATCCCACTGCTTTAATCGTGACTCTAACAGTCCCGCCTGAGTTTTTTGGCAAATCTAGGTCTTTCACTAGATCGTTTCATTCGGCTTGACTTATCATGGTAAACTGTGCAGGTGAAACACTGGGTGGGTAAACGGGATCCAAATATGTTGACGGCATGTTTATAACACGACAAACTTCTATACTTTTCCAATGCCGAGTTAGAGGTGTAGGTTTCCGGCGGTTTAGGAATTGAAAAATCTTCACTATGGAGTATGGGGATAGTATATTTGGATGCATTATAATGGACTTCCTTTTTCTTCGATACACCCCTTCCCAGTACCACATACAGAAGGCACCTTGCAGAAACATCAGTCACTTACATCATCTGACGGTTGTCTCCACATCATTGGGATTGCAAAGGACGTCGATATTTTTTGTGATTTAACCAGTTTCACCAGTTTCGCAGACCAGAAACATACGAATTACAGTAGCTGTGCGATACCCAGGACTTGTCTTATCTCTCACGTTGCAGCTAAAATAGAAATTTAAGCTTTTTTAACCATGGGAGTCAGGTTTCATCTCTGCGACGCAAAAGTCACCTCAACACAAATATAACAAAAACACTCCTCATTCATAACACATTTACGAGGCATCTCGCTTGAACACAGTCTTACAACTAACTAAAGAAGTACTAGGCAACACTGTGTGTCTAGTGCGTCATCCTTCAAGGGTAAACATGAAGAGGATGCGTTTATAAATCAGATATTTCATTAGTTTACGCGTAAGTGCTAGTCCATAAATCTTCGAAACATGAAGATTGTAACTAATAAAGAATTGAAAAGATTTAATTTGAACTAATAAAATAATTTAATAAATTAATTTGATCAAAATCAGCAGATCAAAATTAACAGGTATTAGTTGCTTTCATCTCCGTTACTTTTTTGCTGTTGACCAGTGTTATGCCATTCGCTCGTGTGCGCTTTTGTAATGTAAGTCGTTAGCAAGCCCAAAATCCGCGATTCGAAACTCCGTAGAACGTGCTGTTGATTTTTCATATTTGTCGACTCCAAAAATCGAAGTTGTTCCTACTAGTCACTCAGAAACAAACCTCAGATATGCCTGAATTTCATTAAAAATAGATTAGATACACGAGAAAAGCAATCAGTAAAGAAAAGCTTAATAAATAAAATATAAGATCCATCATAAAAAGCTGTGTTCAGGTACTAGGGGTAGTTATTAGTCAGAAAGTGCAAGCCGAGAACAGATACTGTATAATCTGAAGTAAGACAGAGTACAAAGGGTAATTAAAACGCATCACTTAATCTATTCGTTAAAATAACTAACATTTTAACATATTTTTTCTAACAATTTCTAAGATCCTCGGATATATATGCTATCAAATGTTCACAAGAGTAAATTTTCAAACACTGAGAATCAATTTATATATATCTGGCAGTAGATAGCCGTTTTCTTTTTGTCTCTCCAAGTTGACTTATATACTTGAAATTAAGATTGTCAAAATAAAGAAACTCGAAACTGTCATTTGTCCGCGATTATCTGCAAAGAGTCATTGTACTTTAAATCAGAGAAAAGAGTCGCTAATGTTTCATAACTTTCCCATGATTTTCGAAAATAAATCTGTATCTAATCGATATGTCTTTACTTTCGAACAATTCTAAGATTTCCATCTTTTATACATTTCATTACAAATGCTCTCTCTAAAAATATAAATTTCCCATTAAAGTATTACTCATATTTTACAGTTAAACTCTCAGAATCGCGTATTTATGAATAAAATGCCCTGTTACGTTGAGGAAGGATATGTACTCACTTTTCTGGTAACCATTCCAATAAGTCCGGTCCAGGAGCCATTCTTAATTCTACCCCATTCGCCATCTGGAGATTTCATTAGTTTGTACCTTTAAAAAAAAAAAAAAAGCAATTTTACTATTTTATTTTTTGCATTTGTTTTATGTTATTTTTATATGATATTTTTTCATGTGCGTAGTTTGCTAATTTGGCATAGAACAAAATAGTATACATTTTTTCGCTCCTACCCACATAAAATTCATTTGGAAAACATGTAAATGACTCACAGTATACCGAGATAAACTTGACATATTTTTGAAATTTATGCTGAAGTGGGAAAAACTCAACTGATTTCTGCAAAGAAATGAAATATAATCAGATGTTTTATTTTATTTGTGAAATTAATGATATGTAAATGGTTGTTTTTCCATGTATACTTTTCTATACACATATTTGCTTAAAATGTAGCTATTAACCTCCTATATATTTGCAAATATACTTAACATATGCATTACGAAAGCGCAAAAAATTTAATGAAAGAAAATGCTGTTGTAATAAAACTTCAAATTAGACTCGAGTTACTTACTGTATACCTCATAAATAAATGTTTGGAATTCTGTATTTGGGAAATAAGCTATAGTATATTATTTAATCTACACAAAAGACAATATCACAAGAAATTTTAATTTTTGTGTGAACAGGTTGAAAATATCCGCATCGCTTTAAAAGTGAGGACAAAAAGAATAACCCTTGAGAAACACAAGTGGCCAATAAGCAGTGATATCTTAAACTCAGTTCACAACAGGCACCCAGCCGGTATGGTTAGTGGCCCTGACTACCATAGCGATGGACCCGGGTTCGAATCTCGGAGAAGGCATGGTTGTAACTGTCCGTTCCTTCATAGGAGGTAACGGTGGCCACTTGTTAAGTGCTTCCTTAATGAAGTGGTCACCAGTTCCAGCCCTTGTAGTGGCGGAAGGCTAATGGCTTTTAAATAAGGGGCCAGCCCTGACGCCTGGAAAAAAAAACTTTTAGTGCTATAACATACACATAACGACCAGCATAAACATTTCATAGTTCAGAGCTCAACACGAGTCTACGCTATTCTTCTGAAGATTTTATTTTGATTTGTTTGAAATATGTTGCCAGAATTCAGAGAACTAAAATGACTGTGCTGTAAGATGCATTAATAAGTTTGAAACAAATACTAATTTGGAAGACAGGCATTGGATAGGAAAGCCAAGGAAAACTACCATATGCATTGACCGTAAGCCTTTCAGTTCAACATGGAGATCAGTTGATAGTATCAACCTTCCATTATACTGATGTATAAAATCTATGATTTTAAACAGACCAGTTTATTGCATGTAGTCTTGTGATTTTAAAGGTATGCTAGTATTTTCCAAAGGTTTTAGCATCGCAACTCATAGGCATTTAGTATCAGTTTATGGTTACTCACATTCACATTTTAGCTCTTGGAAAAGAACACAGAACGAAGAATTGGTTTGATTTATTTAGCAATCGAGGGGTATCAGCCTAAAGGGAAGGATGCCTTCGAGGAAGACTTTCAGAGGGAACTTGCTCGTACCAATGTCACACATTGGAAAAACCTGGGAAATGCTCATGCAGCCAATCCTTTCGCCGTGATTCGAACCCGGGTCGAACTATCAGTGTTCAGCCACTTTATAAAGAGGAGACCTGGAAGAAAATACAGCACAGTAATGGACTAATAATAAATAAATGTCTGTAATATTAACAATTAATTAATAATTACAGATTAATTATTAAATTTGAATCAGTACATATAATTGTATTGTAGAGTTTGACGGGCTTTAAACTAGATCCAAACTCTTAATAGACGTATATCGAATTGTTGTTGTGTCTGAAGTAACCACAGAGAAAAAAGTTAAAACAACCTTTTTATCAAAACTTAAGTTGAACATAAATGCACTTTTCGTGCTAACAAGATCAACCACTACTTGTGGCGACGTAACTAAAATAAGAGTCAAATTTAAATTAAAACGTAGGCTAGTAATAAAAGACTATGCAATTAAATTTAAACCGATTCTGGCTCAAAACTCTAACCGGAGTATCAGTTTAAATCGCGGCAGCAAATAACGCAAAGCCGAATAATTTCATAGTTATCACAGCTGGCAACTCTAAGTAACGGGGCCTCAACAGGCAGAAACACACTCTGTCTTACAATTAACAAATCTCAGCTTAAATACTCTCTAACACATTTACATTTCTGTCGAGGAAACGAAAAGGAGAAGTTACAGTGAAGGCTAAAATTATAAGTAATTCGTTAATTCAAAATAATGGTAACCTTAAACCTTACAGTATGACGAAACGAAATATTTAAAATTTTTGTCGAAACACTTTTGAGAATCACTACTCAGTATTCAGCTTATTAACCTGCAGAGTAATCGGGATTTGTTATGCTGGAGACGTGAAAAATGTGCAATATCTTCGCCGGGACTCGAGCTTCGAAATACGCTTCGAGTGTGCTTCCATTTACATCAAGAAAGCATATGGAAAGAAGGGAGAAAATACCTTAAAAACTCTGGTAACTGTTTTCTATAGAATCAACAGTCAGTTTTTCTTACATTTAAACCCTACTATTCTATGCATCGTGCAGCTGTTACGATTTAAATTGTATATTGTTTGATAAAAAGGGTAAATTACATAATGTGGAAAGCAAATAAATGCTACCATATTTATTTACGTAATAGAAAGCAAATGCCTCTTTTATCTTCGGAGCTAGTTTTTGAAAACACAGGCAAAATCCTTCCTACCACTGCGTATGAGTAAACAGTCTGTTTCTAAATAAGTCAATCAAACAACACTAACATATCAAAGTGTTCTTTTTTTTATCATTGATTTAGCCGCTCATCAAAAATTGAAAGATGATATACTCACTCAAAACCGAATTTTTGCTGAAGAGTTCGAAGAAGTTCAGCTTCTGGGCCACTTAACAATCCAATTTCCCCATCTGTAGACATATTCAGCGTCAAGTAAGGTGGACTCTACGAGATGGAAAAAAATTAATTTTTTAAATTATTTTAAATTTTAGGTGAAAAATTCAATTTCAGATTGAAAGACTGTTCATATGACAACCACAAAATGATGCTTAGTTAGATTTTTTTTAAAACATGCTAGTTTATAATTAGTTCATGAACGATTAAATTAAAAAGCTGCGGCTCTGAGTATTAGAAAATGCACATTATTTAAAAGTTATAGCTATGTATTTCGATGAAATTGGGAAAATTTAGGAAGAGAAAGAAGGGGGGAGAAATTCAATGAAACTAGAGAAAAGTCAAGTTGATCCAACAGATCTGATCCTAGAAATAATTCATTTTAAAGCAGAATATTTCAGCAAAAACTGAAGTAAAATTATTTAAAATAAAATTAAAAAAAAAAATTAGGAATCAGTTTATTGATTTTTTTTTTCATTAATTAAAAAAAATAATAATATTCTTATTTTTCGTGAATTTACCAGCTATCAGTAATATATCAGAAATACACTGCTGACCTTTAAAATTGCAACACCAGGAAGGAAGGATCCGATGAACGTCAAAATCACATGAAAGGAAGAAGAGGTTGGGATATGCAAATGAATAGAATTTCAGCGCATTTAGACGACGCAGGAGAGAGAAACGCTATCTGAAGAACTGCATAAAACAAAAGTTGTGCAGTGGATTTCTCATTCGAAAAGCTCTTTGTAAGGTCAGAGTTTGCTCAGAATATCGTGTAACGCCTCGTATGTTAAGAGGAAATGCTTACAAGCAAGTGTCGTGATACGATAGAGGCAGGATCATCGCCTATTGAGAGTGTGGATTATCGTTCTGTGATAACGCCCGTCGCCCTGGTCGACATCCAACCACTGGTATGCGAATATGGAATCAATAGGTTGTTGAGGGTCATACGTAACGGCATGCAGGATCCCAACGCCCTCCCATGACTAACGCCCAAGGGGACAGACATATTGTGAGGTCAGCCCTACCAAACCTTACAACCACATAACGGACAATTAGTCATGAAATGGGCATGTTTCCAGAAAACCCAGTATTCGCTCGTATGGTGCATCGACTTTTGCAGCTGCGTGGACTACCAGCACGACGACCATTGCCTCGGCTTCACTTGACAATGCAGCATAGAGAGAGACGGCGAATCTGGTGCGCCGAACGACATAGCTGGATGCAAGAGTTGCATAATGTCGTTTTTCAGACGAGTCCCGGTTCTGTGTGCAATATTCTGATGGCCGTACACGTGTTTGGAGACTCCGAGGAGAGCGCACGTCGCCTGCTTGCATTTGATATCCGTAGGGAGGCCTTTCACTTGGTGTGATGGTTTGGGAAGCCAATGCGTACACGACACACCCATCTCTAGTTCGGATCGATGGTAATTTAAAATCAGATCGGTACATTTCTGATATCTGATGTCCGGTGCCCTAACTTCGAGGCCCGCTAAACGCCATCTTCCAACAAGATAATGCAAGATCACATGTTGCACGCCCTGTTCTGATCTTCCTCGATACACAGGATATTCGATTGCTTCCCTGGACTACACGATCTCCAGATCTGTCACCCACTGGAAACATCTGGTCATGGGCTGCTGAGAATGTGGCTCGCCACCCCTCTTCTAGCTAATACGGTTGATGAAGTGAGGCATAGATTTGAAGCAGCATGGAATGAATTGCTCGTTTCTGTCATCGAAGTCCATTTCGACTCAATGCCTAAGCGGGTAAGTTCCGTTTTTGCTGCAGGGGTGGCATATGTTTCTACTAATTTCGCACCCCCGTTAACCCTCAAACTGTTTGAAAATTTAATCATTTTGTCTTCATGCCACACTGTTTACGTACAATAAATATCGTTTTGGTACTTGCTTTCCTTTATGGTATTGCCATTTAAATGGCCAGCAGTGTATTATGCTATGCATATAATGATAGCATAAGAATATTTTCTCCTATGAAAATATTAAAATCGTAGATACGGTCAAAAATGCAGAACAGTGTCAAAGACAGGCGCTATCATTTGCAATAAGTACGTTTTAGAATTAAATCATAATTTTGCTTAGAATACAGATTTTTTATGAAACATATCTTAATTAAACAAAGCTGTATAAGCGAAAAAAAGATGACTTAAAAAGTGAATATAGGGTAAAGGAGACAAGTAAACTTTACATACTATTCCACTATACTGGTGGGAAGTTTAGTCAAGAAATTTATAAATCAATAAACGCTTATTCAAAGGAATTAAAATGTACTTTTTAAAGTAATCAGATTGCATGCAATTCATAAACATATTTAAATATTGTTTTTAGTTACATTTGTCGAGTTTGATATCCATTAACTAGTTATCTTATTATTTTGCTCGTACTTCGACATTCCTCAGCTTATCCCACGAGGATGCAAATCAGTAAATGTGTATAACCACAAGGTTCTTGATTCTTGAGAAACAGCCTTTGGCAACTATTGCTGCCCGATTACTTTGTGAGAACCTCCTGCCGCTGATTTGAATTGCTTAATTGTGTTAACTTTGCTAGTTGTTATTTCATGTACGGATTCCTGAGCCAAAGCTTAAAAGATGCATCTTACCTTGTATTTAATATTTTAATTTTACTTAGCATTGCTCTGAATTTCCCAAAAGCTGCAGAAATTTGATTAAAAAATTTGATAATGAATACTTCGTAACTCTCATGTTGATATGAAAATAAAAAATGGTTTATTTTTAACTTGAGTTTGTGGTACTCTTTGCAGAAGTTATGACAGTACGATAAATCGACTATATTTATGGTTGTAGGAGTTGACATCTAAATGTAGTATGGAACTATACACATTAATTTATAAACAGTAACAGTAAATTCATCATTTAGACTTCATTAATAGCAACTTGATTTGCAATATACTATGCTGAATATGGTTTTAATTAGAGTAATTAACGTGTTAGGCCGAATATATGTTTGCTTTAAGTAACGATAGGAATTATTAAGAATTTTGAACAGAAGTATTTTAAAGGTAAATGTACTTTACTGTTACGTATTTAAAGACAGTTTTCTAGCTATAAAAAATAATAATTACATAATCTTGCAATGCAAAAATGTGAAAATTTCTTACTTCATCAAGTGCTAATCTCACTAATTTCGGTTTAGACTTCTTTCTTCTTCTTTCGTCATTTATTGATGTTTTGAGTGAGTGATTCTGTCGTCGTATGACAGATGAATTTAAAGCCATTTCCTGATTATTTGTGTTGTCTACATTTGTAGCATCATCTGTTGAATAACTCTGGAGAACGCAACTTTTGTTTAATAATATCCAACCCATTGCAGTGCAGCTGCTTTCAAGCCCCCACATCTCCAGTAACTGATAATGAACATCATTTTCGTCAAAAAATAGCCACCATATGTCATCACAGATTGTTTGCAGAATCTGTAATTTCAAACTTAATTAGTAAGTCAAAAAACATAATAAACTGGTATAAAAATATGTTAGCTAGAATATATAAGTCAAACCAGCATCTGTTGAAATGTCATTCGATTTATTAAACGGATATGTTTTAATTATTCAAAAAAGGTCAATAAATAAATAAAACTAAAGAAATAAAAATAACGAACATTTTTAAGCGTCTTACATATCATATTTAAAATGCAGATGTTTTAAATACTTATATGTGAAAACGATGATGGAGATGAATAATGAATGAATGCCAGATTAATATGCCTATGCTTTGAGTGCCTAAAACCACATACCATTGACCCCTGAAATAGACGGTAATTAAAGGGCCGTTCCCACTAGGGTTTACCTGAGTTAGCGGAGACATCTGGCGCAGCCGACATAGCTCTGCGATGTTGAAAAAAACCTGTTTTTCTGCCGTTAAGAAGTCCGAACTTCACGTATAGCGGGGATAGTTGATACATGGAACTTCCGATAGTTCATACCAACCCCAGTCTGAACGACCCTTTTGGGTATAGCTTCTTTTTCCAAGATCCTCCAAATCTAACTGTCAATATATATTCTGCTGCTGATCAGAAAATTCTTCCTGCTAGCACAAAGGTAGATAGACATATTGAAGTATATTTTGTATTCTGTATCTAGTGTATCGTGTATTCTTCCAATAACGTAAGTCAGAAAATCGAATATTTTAAGGATGAATATCTCATGAAAATGAAAATACACAGTAGCAGGGTATAAAATCGAAAGTTGAAGAAAACAACATTCGAACTTCCTAGCTTTCAATATACAATCCTTTTGAGTCTACACAACGCTTGGAATTTCCATATAGCTGCTCGAGTTCTCCGTTGAATTCATCTCTTGGAATGTCGTTTAAGTAAGTTAAGGTTACCCTGAGTCTTAAAAAATTACATTTGAGGAGGTGATATTTCACTTTAGTAAAGAGAAAGATGAGAAAGTAGTCTGTGAGGGTCGAATCTGGTGAACAAGGGAAAGGCTGAAAACTGTGACACAAATCTTTCTCAGAAGTTTCTTGACGAGAATGGAATTGTGTCATAGCACTTTAACGTGCAACAGAAACTAGTCATTGAGCCTTTTGAAATCTAAAGCGATGAATTCCCTTTAGAAATCTGTTTCTTACGTCTTTATAAAAATTGGTCTTCGTTATAAAATATGTCCCCTGGGAACGAATTTCGTATGAAATATTCCTTTCTAACAGAAAACAGTAACCAGCATGGTCTCTTAATTTCTGAAACTAAATTGTCTGTATGTATGGTGAACCTTCTCCATAAAATGCATTTGATAGCTATATTGTCTCAGGATCAACACGTTTCATATGCAATTTCAGATTGTTTGAAAAAATCAGTATTAATATCTGTTATTTTGAATGATACGCAGAAATTCGACTTTCTTTCTGTTCATTAAGTCAAGCCGTGGCAGACTAACTGAGAATAACTTTTCTGCTTTCAAGATCTTACATGACAATTTTGTGAGCAATGATGCTAATTAATAACTAATTCTTAGTTAAGACATCAGCTATCATCCAAAAAGATCGGTGACAGTTTTACAGCAAAAATTAAAGAACTTTCTCCATATTTTGATACTTTCGAGATTTCTAAAGGCGATCACTTCTAGGATAATCATCTTCGCGTCTATCATGTAATCGTTTATGACTTCCGCTGAGCCAGCCAACGCTCGCAAATTCGAAAGAGTTCAATTGCCTGTATGCATCACCGAAGAGCCCTTTTGTGACGTATTTCACTCTCCTTGTAGGGTCTCCTTTATTTTGCATAAAAAATTTATTTTAAGTTTGGTACCTTTCCTGAACTCCTCAACTTCATTGCGCATTTTCTCGCCAAAATGTAAATTTAAAGTTAAGTTAATATTTAAATGGGTGAATCTCTGAGTTTATTCAGAGCATGTTTCCGCTAGCCAGCTCACGTTTCGTTACTATCTCGCTGTTACGCTACTATGCCTCTCGGCCATTTCTGATTATCGGTCACGCCTGTTAGAGTTTTGTTGAGTCAATCTGTTAGACGTAAACGTAACTTAACGTGCTAATTCAGTACTATTATATTTTAGATTTGAATTGATTTTATTCTACATTCAAGTTGCATCGTAACTGGTCGGTGTTATTTTAAAGCACGAAGTCCGTGCCTTTCTGCTCTGAATTTGATTTAATAAAGGGTTACTTTTCACCCTTCTTCTGTGCTGGTAATTCATTCACGCCTGTGCGAGAATTCGCCAGGTTCATTGTAGGATCTAGTTCTAGTTTATATAGAATAAAAGAGACAGATATTACATCATGACTTGACCTCAGGTTCTGTCCTCAAAGGTCCAACGCGATTATCTGACTTATCCTTCTGATTCAAACCAGAGATGTCGTTATACTTTAAAATACAAAAAGCCCAGGAACAGCGAGCCATAAATTCAACAACCGCTCCGCACGATCATACTGACGAGAAACATTGTTTCGCGTTAATGCTTGATTTTCCTGTATGCTTTATACAACATTTCAAATGTCTCACTGCAAAAACAATTATTATTTTTACAGAAAACTTTACGCCTGGTCTTTGCTCAGCTTTCGAATCCATGATGCGGGATCAAATCCTTCACTGGATCAAAGGAAACGATTAATTGCATAAAAAATTTCGGCAGTAAGCATACGATATTTTAGACTAGCAAGCTGAGATATCATCGTAATAATTGTTCGACCGATTGACATTCCATGTATATTATTTACTGGATGATTATATAAACGAACATCTGAGCTCGACGCTTGCGCGCTTTGACTAGCTGCCAAATTCGAACAAGTTAGTAATTGCAAAATAATTTCAGACTTCATCTTATTTTCAAGAATATTTTCTTCACGCTTTTGTAATTCACCGTCGGAATTAAATCCTGGATAGCTTCAATACATAAAGAGAACGACGTATAAGAATATTATGATGGCAGTTTATTTTGAATTGAGGAGAAATCATTGTGGTAATGCTGAATGTCTGCTTATTTTGTTTGTGAATATTTGTTTGCAACGCGCTAAAATCGTCCATACAGTGAAATAGTGTTCTGTTTTGGTATTTTATGTGTTTCCGGTGATTAAAATTACATGGTGGTTTCTCCAATCTTCAGTGGTTCCAGAGGTGCAATATTTGGATACACGGATTCGGTTATAATGTCCTAAGTGCTATATCGTATATCATTCATATTAATCGATTATTGTGTTCATGATGACAGGTTAGTGCTCAGACATATGAATGAAACAATAGTGTTAAGGAAACATTAGCATTACTATGAAATATTGTAATCTATAACTATGTCATACTTAATTGTGTAATATTAAAAAACACTAAATATATTTTTATTGATTGCATATTGCAGTTTTATTACTTTTCGTTTGGTAGCTTTCTCCCAAATACTGTGTAATTCGCGTTTTTTTTTTAAATATTGCTGTTATGTATGTCTATTAGATTATCTCAATAAATGAATGTTGGAAATTAGGTTTTATTCTTTATTAAATTTAAGTATATTCTATTTTCTTCGCTTACATTTTATGTGAATATGATAACAAAGAAATTCATAATAAAACAAAAAGTTTCATCGTGTGCTACTTAACGAAGAGCTTACTTTAACGTACTTAGCTTACTATCGTATACTATAGTATTTAAATTATTTCTGTACAGTATCAAAAGGAAAGTTATTGATTATAAAAGTGCATGAAATGATCATTGTAATCTACCACTATTCTAAAATGTAGAAACTAAATATAAGTAAATACATTTACATATGATCAAAAGAAAAGGTGTTAAGAAACATCAGCATTACTAGTAAGTACTGCAATCCATAATTATTGCCCTTTTAATAGTTTACTATTTAAAAAACGCAAATAATTTTTTATTAATTGGAAATTTTAATTCTGTTACTTTCCTTCTGCTATTTATACTTTCAAACACAGCTAGTTCATGTTTTTTCTTAAATAGTGCTGTCATGTATGTTGTTTGTTAGGTTATAATTTCATTTTAGATATGAATATGGGAAGTTTTTTTTGGGTTATTAGATTTAGGTATATTTTTGTATAAAATATTTTTGATCACATTCATTAATTACTTTATACAGTTTTTCATTTGCACATGTTGGAGATGTAGAAGTTAATGGTTATATTTTTTTACTATGAAATGCGAATAAATTTGTACTTGAGTTCAGGTAAATTACTGATTATGTTACCTTACGCTTTCTAATTTATCACGACAGGGTTAATTTTCATACACATTCCACATTCAATTTCGAGCCTCGTGTTAACATCTGCTTTCAATAGCCACCAACTTGCAGAAATAATGTTACTGACATGTTTATCAGTGTAAAGCACTGGGCACCGAATGCAATGATGTGTTATCGTAAATCGAAATATATAATATCCGTACAATGCACGAATGTAGTGTATGCAACGAAATATGTAATTCATGCAACAGAAGCCCCTAATGAAAGTATGTACATTATGTATTATGTGAACTGAGCATATTTCCGCACAGCGCTACTGCTTTACGCACACCTTACTATGTCTCATATGTTTCTTCTGTGTGTAATATTTGCATTTATGTGCTCTACGTGTTTCCATATGTATTCTATGTGCCATGATATGTATTCTCGTGTGTGTTTTTATGTCTTTATGTTACGTAATTACGAGTGTGTTTTTATGCTTTTACGTTTAATTTTGTATATCTATGTGTTTCAGCTTATATGAGTGTTTTAGTGATAGTCCGAAAGTTTTTTCAGCTTATATGAGTTTTTTAAGTTACTTTGTGTTATTAACAACGTCCTATGTAAAAACTACCCGACATCTAGCACCTGTATGGCCATGTAAACTCCCGGTGCAGCCTCACGGGGCTCCAGCGAGTTGTTTCTTCGAGATAGTGGAGGACGTGGGACATATGCCTGTTTACCTATGTTATACGCCAGGCGTCCCCGTCCTCCGTCACCTGTCA